TAAAGAGTTCATCAGTATTAACTCATCCATTCACACACATTCACACACTGATGGTAGAGGCCGCTGAGTAAAGAGTTCATCAGTATTAACTCATCCATTCACACACATTCACACGCTGATGGTAGAGGCCGCTGAGTAAAGAGTTCATCAGTATTAACTCATCCATTCACACACATTCACACACTGATGGTAGAGGCCGCTGAGTAAAGAGTTCATCAGTATTAACTCATCCATTCACACACATTCACACGCTGATGGTAGAGGCTGCTGAGTAAAGAGTTCGTCAGTATTAACTCATCCATTCACACACTGATGGTAGAGGCTGCTGAGTAAAGAGTTCGTCAGTATTAACTCATCCATTCATACACATTCACACACTGATGGTAGAGGCCGCTGAGTAAAGAGTTCATCAGTATTAACTCATCCATTCATACACATTCACACACTGATGGTAGAGGCCGCTGAGTAAAGAGTTCATCAGTATTAACTCATCCATTCACACACATTCACACGCTGATGGTAGAGGCTGCTGAGTAAAGAGTTCGTCAGTATTAACTCATCCATTCACACACTGATGGTAGAGGCTGCTGAGTAAAGAGTTCATCAGTATTAACTCATCCATTCATACACATTCACACGCTGATGGTAGAGGCCGCTGAGTAAAGAGTTCGTCAGTATTAACTCATCCATTCATACACATTCACACGCTGATGGTAGAGGCCGCTGAGTAAAGAGTTCGTCAGTATTAACTCATCCATTCATACACATTCACACGCTGATGGTAGAGGCTGCTGAGTAAAGAGTTCGTCAGTATTAACTCATCCATTCATACACTGATGGTAGAGGCCGCTGTGTAAAGAGTCCGTCAGCATTAACTCATCCATTCATACACTGCTGACGAAGCAGCAGGAGCAACTTGGTGGTTAAGTGTTTTGCAGACATGGCTGCAGGAGCTGGGGATCGAACCAGAAACCTACTGGTTGACCGCTGAGCCACAGCCTGATTCTAATTACACGTTAGATTCTACATTAATCTTTAGCTCAGTATATTTTCCTTCTTTCATCATAATTTATGAAAACTTTAAATATTATTCTGAGGTAATGGCCGCCGTTTATGTTCTTATTTCTAACAGCTAGTTGAAAATCTCGGATCTTTATTATTAAATACTCGTTGTGTTTTGCCAGGTGTGTCTTGATTTTGGATGATGTGTGATGTTTGACTAGAAAGCTGTGCAACCCGGAGCTGCTACAGAAACAATGCCGAACCATCCTGACCACTATCAAATAAATACTAAAAACGAAATGCTAAATCAAACAACTAACTAAGTTTCCTAAAAGTCAATGTGCTAAACTACGAGCTAAGATAACCTACAATTAAAGCTAAGCTACTAGCTAACTAATATTGAAATAATCTAACAACCTAACTAATGCCTGCAACCTCCAACTAACTTCCTAAATACTATAAACTCACAACTATACAATCTACACTAAATGAATCTATACTAACAGCACAATCCAACTACTAAACCATTAAGCTATTAATCGCGCAGCTCTCTCAGTCTCAATCCACTACACTTGACTCCTCACAGTTCGCTGAGTAGGGTGACAAGGCTTTTATAGGTTTGGTGATGTAGGCATGTACTCCAGACAGCCGTTATAATTTTTCAACCGGCAGAGAGCAATCACTATGCACATTTCTGACACAATATTTCAAATTTCAATACTTTGTACTCAAATGTTGAGATTTGGACTTGAATTGATCCATAGCACTACTTAATACTTTTTATAGTTGAAAAAAGTGGTTTTGGGGTTTAGTTACTCTTTAAATAGACTCATAATAATAATAATAATTATTATTATTATTATTATTATTTAGCATCAATATATATATACATATATTCTGTACATTCTATATATTTTATTATATTATTACATTAGTCTATATTATATTACATTTCATTATATTACACTATATTGTTCATATTGCACTATATTATAATATATTATACTACATTATATTATCTAACTGCACTCTGCATTACTGTGGTACAACACTGCCTCTCTTCTCTGCTCTTTACATTACTTGCTGCTAATTATCACACCAAGTCACTTTAATCATCACTTGTCACTTTATCTTGTCATTCTCTGCAAATACTGTCACAATTCCCTGCATAGTTAACTTCATCATTCATTTTGTACTTGTATATACTCCCTGTTTTTATCTTTATTTATCTTATCTATTCTGTTTAATGTGTATTTTGTATTTTGAGCTTACTTGTCTGTGCTGTTGCAACGCCCGAATTTCCCCTCTGGGGATCAATAAAGTATTATCCTATCCTATCCTAGAAATAATAACCTGTTCTTTAATTATTGTGACTTATTTGTTCCTGTTGTCAGTTGTTCTGCTCTGTGAGTTTGTAAAAAAGCCAGAATTGGAAATGTAATTATCTTTATAATCAGAGTTAAATCTGTGGTTACCCTTTTCTTCAGAGTTTCTGTAGTTCTTCCTTCAGTCCACAGGGGGGCAGCAGAGTGCTCAAGGGTTAACAGGCAGGTGGTCACGATGAAATGATGAAAACATATTTACATAAAAATAAAAGTTTATTGGTAAAAATAAAATACAAAAACATTTAATGCCATTTTCTATGAATTGCTCTGATTATTTACAGGTGTTTGTTAGCTTCCAGGTTTGATGTATTTACAGGTGTGTCGTGGTTTCAAGGTGCTGTTGTATTTATTTAACAGATGTGTTGTCTTTGTTTTCAGGCGTGTCTTTAAATCCAGGTGTGTGGTCGTTATTTACAGGTGTGCATGTCGTTCATGCTCTCACAGCGCTTGCAGCGGACGTAGCAGCACCACACAAACTTGCACTCGCAGCGTTGGACGTGCCTCACCACGTGCGTGTTGTATCCGCGGCCGCAGCACAGCAGGTTGCAGCTGTCCGAGCCGGTGGACGTGCGGTTGCAGCGGCGCCCCCTGGTGCCGGCGACGCCACGACGCCGGTCCTCGAGGCAGTAGTTTGGAGACTTGTTGAAGAAGATGAGCTGCTGTTTGTCCACAGGGGGGCGCTGCTGATCTTTCCTTCTCGTCTTCCTCCTGGAGCGGTCCGACACCTGAACACTGTTCTCGTAGCGCTCCTTCAGGTACACGCCGACACGCTCGAACGGCGCCATCGTCTTCCAGCACGTTTTCACAGCGCAGGAGCCTGAGACGCCGTGACAGCGACAGTCTGTGGACATCGTTTGCTCGATTGCCTGGAGGAGGAGGAGGAGACGATGAAGACTTTATTTTTTATTTTATTAAAGTTTTATTGTGAGCTGTTGACCACGAGGAGCCTCAGCTGATGTGAAGGTTCCACATGTTCTGCTGAGAACATAAAACAAAACATGGCCGACTCACCTGGTAGAGACTGAACACACACAGCGTCAGAGAACATGTTTAAAAACACACTCAGATTGAACGCTGTTTGGTTTCAGGAAGTCGCAGCAGTGACAATGTACACACACACAAATGCAGGATTAATGACACTGTGAGGACACTGAACGTGGTCTGCAGATGGAGCGGGGACCTCATGCTGTGTGTGTGTGTGTGTGTGTGTGTGTGTGTGTGTGTGTTTAATTTAATATAATGTATCACTGTGTTAATCAGTCAATTGTCTCTCTCTTCTGCTGCTGAACTGTTACTGCCCCCTACTGTCCATCGGTGGAACAGCATGAAGCTAACTGTCATGACGGCCTTCAAATTCAATTTATACAAAGAGAGAGTTACATTTTATTGTGTTTCTAGCTAAACTTTATGATGACAGCAGAGTTTAACTTCCTCG